TTGTACACAGACAGGCACTATATTTTGCCGTAACTACTAAAAATATTGAAGTACCTGAAAATGCTGAATGTACCTACAACTTGGTTTTATATGAACTATTATTCAACAGTGCACTATTTTAACTTAAAATACCGGTAAAAACCACTATAAATAGCTTTTAGTTTATTTATAGGTTATTTTAAAATTCATATTTTAATTGTCAATTTCTCGATTTTCCGTCTAGATGTGGTAAAACTAATATTACTTTTGTAAACTATAAATTATAAGGAATAAATCGACATCCATTTCATTGCGTGACGCGAAAATTTGTGGTGGGCCCATTCTCCATACAAAAATTGATTGTCTCCTTTGGAAAACAAAAAAGTTTTACACTATATATTAGTTTAACAAAGTGAGCAGACAGCTCCTTAAAAACATAACGTGACATCTACCTAGGGCTAAGTATTCTCCAGAAAGATGCTTTGCTTTAACTTTACATTACTATTCACTCAAAGCTTAACAATATGTGCGAAATATCAAAAGTTTTGAAATTGGTCTGCCTTCATCACATACTATAACAAAGTGGTACAGTACAATTTATGGCCGACTTGGCTAGACAAAAAAAAAGCGTTAACTGTTTTAAAACTTAGACTAGAGAGTAACCCTGACAAGAAATTATATTATTGTATATTAGTGATAGATGAAATGAAAATAAAACAATTGACGGAGTACCATGCAAGTTCTAAAAGACATTTTGGTTATATATATAATGCCTTTGGCTACTAGCATGGTATTCTGTCAATTGTACTAATCAAATTTTCATTTCATCCATTACCAAGGTACAATAAAAAAAATATCAGGGTTACTCTCCGCTCTCAATTTTAATGCCGTCAGCGCTTCTTGAGTAAACCCTGGTCGGCGATCGATGGTAGTGTACCACTTAGTCAATGTACGTGGTGCAGGCAAACATGTTCCGAAAGTTTTACGTACATAGCGATAGGCTTTTGGTGAGTAATAGTTAAGTGTTAGGGCATAGTATTTCTTGCAAACTTGTGGAGCCTGTTTTTATGTGTTGTATGTTTTTTATGTCAAGGCATTTTTTCATTTTAATTTAACAGTGGTAGAGCCACGCGGCAGCTTTGCTGTCGCACGTATGGGCCGGCTCAAACCGGGGTGGTACCACGACCTCACAGAATACCGGCGTGAAGTGGAAGCTCTGCTTCCGCGTTTCGTCTGGTGAGTGCAGGTGGCCGGAGGCCCAAATCCCCCCCCCCCCCATCAACATGGTAGCGGAATTAAATGATAGACTATCCCAGGAGGGTACCAGCACCCCTGGAGAATCCCTCGCTGAGCATCCACGACCATGTTTCTCCACTTCTGAGCGTGGGTGCTCAGGCTGCCCCGCGTATTCTGGGGGGGGGGGGGCAATATTCCGCTCAAGACTAAAACTGCTCGGGGCAAACGGAGCAACAAGACCAAGGCGACCCCTGCCACGCTGTCCGTGAATTTCTGCAATATCAGGGGACTTCACTCTAACCTAAACGCCGTCCACTACCATCTCGAGACGGCGAGGCCGGCTCTGCTCTTTCTGACCGAGACGCAGGTGTCCTCTCCGGCTGATGTCTCGCATCTCTCCTGCCCGGGGTACAAACTGGAACACTCCTTTGTGCCTCGGGCTGGAGTTTGCGTTTACGTCAGAGAGGACATCTGTTCTCGACGCCTCGGCAGACTTGAAGGTTCGGACCTGTCCATCCTTTGGCTACGCGTAGACAGCGACGACCATCCGCGCGTCTACGGGTGCCTCTATAGGTCCCATAGCGGTAATGCCGAAACAGACCGACTCTTCGACCACGTCCAAATGGCTGCAGATTCGTTGCTACAGCAGATCCCCTCCGCAGAGATCGTGATCCTCGGCGACTTTAACGCCCATCACGCCGAATGGCTCGGTTCACGTTTAACCGATCATGCGGGGAGATCTGTTCATGATTTTGCCTTGGCATATGGTCTGACACAACTGGTTACTTCGCCTACGCGGATTCCAGATGTGGAGGATCATGCACCTTCCCTGTTGGACCTTCTGCTGACCTCTCACCCGGACGGATATCAGATTTCCGTCGACGCCCCTTTAGCCTCCTCGGACCATTGTCTTGTCCGGAGTGTGGTGCCACTCACGCTGAAATCGCGGTTGCATTCTGCAGGCTGCCGCCGTGTTTGGCACTATAGGTCAGCCGATTGGGATGGGATGCGGTCTTTCTTTGCATCCTACCCTTGGGGGGCGGGTTTGCTTCTCGCCGGACGATCCCAACGTTGTTGCGGATTCTATCGCTGATGTGGTACTTCAGGGTATGGAACTTTTTATTCCTTCCTCTGTGGTGCCCATTGGAGGCAAATCTCAGCCATGGTTTGGTCGCTCCTGTAAAATAGCATCATGCTATAGCAGGAGTGCTACCGAGCCTGGGCTGACGCATCAGCATCCAGGGATGTAAACACCAGCGCTCTAAAAAAAGAAGTATAATTCCGCCTCTAGGTCCTTCAAAAGAGTCATTGCCAAGGCAAAGTCAGAGCACATAGGCAGAATTGGCGAGAGACTAGTTCGTCTTCCTTCTGGAACCCGTGCATTCTGGTCTCTCGCCAAGGCTGTCCAGGGGGAATTTCTGTCAGCCATCTCTTCCATCTCTGCACAGGGAGGACGACTCACTGGCCCACACCGCAAAGGAGAAAGCCGATCTTCTAGGCTCTTTCTTTGCGTCTAACTCGACTCTCGATGACGGCGGGAGTACGCCGCCGACCATCCCGCGGTGTGAGTGCTCCATGCCGGAAGTGCAGTTCACTCAGCGCTCGGTTCGCAAAGCACTCCTCTCCCTGGACATCCATAAGTCGAGTGGGCCTGATGGAATCCCCCCAATTGTGCTGAGGACGTGTGCTCCAGAGTTGGCACCGGTTTTAACGCGTCTTTTCCGGTACTCCTACTCCCTAGGCGTAGTCCCAAAATCATGGAAGACGGCTTTCGTCCACCCGATCCCTAAAAAAGGCGACCGCTCAGACCCGTCCAACTACCGGCCTATCGCCATCACCTCCTTGTTCTCCAAAACAATGGAGTCCATTGTAAACTGCCAGCTCATGAGGTACCTTGAGGATCACCAGCTGATTAGTGACCGCCAATACGGTTTTCGCCGTGGTAGGTCAGCTGGTGATCTTCTGGTCTACCTAACTCACAGATGGGCGGAGGCGGTAGAGTCCAAGGGGGAGGCATTGGCCGTTAGTTTGGACATTGCGAAGGCCTTCGATCGGGTTTGGCACAAAGCGCTTCTTTCGAAGCTCCCTTCCTATGGGCTTCCCGAGAAATTGTGCGATTGGATCACCAGTTTTCTTGCGGATCGGAGCATCAAGGTCATTGTAGACGGTGCAAGCTCCGATTGCAAGCTTATTAATGCTGGTGTTCCACATGGCTGCGTGCTATCGCCAACGCTGTTTCTTCTGCATATCAATGATATGTTGCAAACCCGTAGCATTCATTGCTATGCAGATGACAGCACTGGTGATGCTCTTTACACCGGCCGAGCCAATATTTGTCGGGAAAACGTCTCTGAGTGCCGGGACAAACTTGTGTCTGAAGTCGAGTCTCTGCTGGACAGAGTCTCGGATTGGGGGCGACTAAATCTAGTCCAGTTTAACCCCCAGAAGACACAAGTTTGCGCGTTAACCGCTAAAAAGAACCCCTTTGTCGTATCCCCTCAGTTTCAAGGCACTCCCCTTGTTGCCTCAGCCAGTATCGGAATCCTCGGCGTCGACATATCGAGTGACGTGCAGTTTCGTGGTCACTTGGAAGGGAAGGCCAAATTGGCCTCTAAAAAGCTTGGCGTGTTCAGCAGAGCGGGACAGTATTTCATGCCGGCACACCGCCTGCAACTTTACAAGGCGCAGGTTCGGCCGCTCATGGAATACTGTTCCCATCTCTGGGCTGGGGCTCCCCAGTACCAGCTCCTTCCACTTGACCGCATCCAGCGCAGAGCGGCTCGAATCGTCGACGACCGAGTGCTTTCCGATCGGCTCGATTCACTGGCGCTGCGAAGAGATGTTGCATCTCTTTGCGTATTTTATCGCATCTATCACGGGGAGTGCTCTGAGGAATTGTTCGGATTAATCCCAGCCGCCAAATTTCGTGAACGCACTACACGGCAAACGTCCCGATACCATCCACACCATCTGGATGCTTGGCGGTCCACCACTGTACGTTTCAAAAGGAGTTTTCTTCCGCGTACAACCTCTGTGTGGAATAATTTACCACCGGTGATTTTTCCGGACCGATACGACCTGGGGACCTTCAAGAAAAGAGCTTACTCCTTTCTAAAGGGCCGGCAACGCACCTGCAATTCCCCTGGTGTTGCGGTTGATCATGGGCGGCGGTAGTCACTTAACATCAGGTGAGCCACATGCTCGTTTGCCCCCTCTTCTATAAAAAAAAAAAATTTTCCTTGGCCTAAGTGTTGGCTCGTACTCGCAGTGGGAGTAGGACTTGTTCGGGTTATATAAGGATTTTTTTTCCGAATTGTGACTATCGAGATAATTTATGGAGTTTTGCCGGAACACCCAGCTTTCTTTTTTCGATGTAGACGATATTGTGCAATCACCACGATCACCCTAAAATAAATAATTTTATTTCAGTCAGAAGATTCAAGCTATATAATATATATATATATATATATATATATATATATATATATATATATATATATATGATAAAGATATACAATATATATATATAAAACATGAGTAAATAAAATACAAGTGTTAAAAAACTTAAAACGAGCTACATGTTTTGCCATTTATATACATTGAGTTTACCATTAAAATAATAATAATAATAATAATTAGGCGTAGGGAAGTGACGACCCCATCGCCCGCTGACGTAACAGTTATGTGACAAAACTACTACGTCGGCGCAGTCAGTCAGCGCCCTGCCAAGAGGTGTGAGCGCCGTGCCTAGGCAAAATTGTGGGTGCAAAGGTCCGTTTGTGCATATGACCGAACCACGAAACGGTGCCGGGCTTGGGCGTCTCCCGTTATTTGGCGCCCATAAATGGATGATGGTACAAAGAGGAACGCGCATAGGGCCGCTGCCTGGGGGTCGCCGGGGCGCGTCTGGAGCTGGCGCTGGACGCGGCAGCATGCGGGCCGCCAGCCGAGCGCGAGGAGCTGTACGATCACCTAGCAGCCCTCCGCATCCATCATCCCCACCAGAAGGCTTGGTGTCGGCTGGGTCTTCTCGGACTCAGCAAGCGGCACCCGCCGCTGGTGGAGCACGTCGCATGCGTTGGTCACAAACAATGAACGCAAACGCACTGCGGGCGTACTTTAGGGCAAAAGGGGAAGAAACCGGATGTTTGGCATATCGGGCTCGGATGCATCGCTTTTTTGCAGAGCTGGAGCCATCGCTATCCGTCACTGAGCAAAACCTGGCAGACCGAGTTCGGTACATCCTGCGCTCCAACATATTTGGTGACGCCGAACTCGAACGACTACGACGTGAGGCTGTTCCCTCATCGGATGGAAATGCTACGGCTGGGAATGCGGCGCCACTAATTGCGCAGCAAACTGCAAATGTGGACGCTGCCGTCAATATTCCATTTGTGGTTGATTCAGACGATGATGGAATAGTCCCCCACGAACTAGAGAAAATGAGGAGCATATTGGAAGAGTCGATGCTGGAAACGCGCAGCATGCCTCTCGAAAATCGACCGCGACTTCCCCGCATACCCCTTAGCAAGCGAAATCGGGCTGTCGTGCGGGCTCTTAACCCAATGCTGGTGACCTACTTGGAAGCCAGCCGGGACCTTTGCGAGACGGACTCAATTCTTTTTGGCGCCGCACTGGCAGTATGCCGTATTATTGGCGCCAAACTTCCCATGGCTGGACGTGCTACTCAACAAGGTAGTGCCATCCCAGCCTGGAGAAAAAGAATCGAGGACCGTATCGCAAAGGCAAGGGCCCTTATCGGCAGACTGACAAGCTTCAGGTCGGGTAATATTAGACCGAGAGTTGTGCGCACCGTTAGAATGGCGTTTGCTTGGACAAATATTAGTTTGTCCCAGCCGGATATCACGCAGAAACTAACGGAGCGCATAGATGACCTGAAGCAAAAAAATCGCTGCTTGGGGGAAGCGGATTCGACGATTTAGCGAGAGATCAAGGCGGTTCAACCAAAATCGTCTCTTCCAGAGTGATCAGAAGAGGCTCTATAAATCATTGGAGCGACCAGAGGTATGTGGAGCGGGCCCAGGACCGGATCAGGCTGACACTGTCGCATTTTGGCGTAGCCTGTGGTCAGAGCCCGTAAACCACAGCGAGGGCCCTTGGATGGAAGTTGTGGCGAGCCAGAGTGCAAGTGTTACGCCTATGGACCCCGTCACCATAACGCCTGAAGACGTGGCTGAGGCGGTCCGTAGGGCCCCGAACTGGAAAAGTCTGGGGTTCGACGGGCTGCATCATTACTGGCTGAAGGGGTTCGTAGTGTGTCACGCTGTGCTCGCCCGACAGTATCAAGAGGCTCTCGATCAGAAGTCGCTCCCGAGCCTCTTCACTACTGGGATCACTCACTTGGTTCCTAAAGATCAGGATACCACAGACCCGAGCAAATACCGCCCCATCACGTGTCTACCGACCATATACAAGACGCTGACATCCATTTTGAGCGCGAGAATCACTCGTCACCGGGAGCTCAAATCAGGTGATGTCACGCGCTCAAAATGGATGTCGGGGCGGTGGTCGTGAAACCAAGGAACCACTCCTCATTGACGCGGTCATTGGCAAAGTGGTGAAACGCAACCGTCGGAACTTCTCCGCCGCCTGGATAGACTACAGAAAAGCATTCGACTCGGTGCCCCATGCATGGCTAAAGAGGGTCCTCGAGCTGTACAAGATTGATTGTACAGTTAGAGACTTCCTCGAGCAGTGTATGGGGCAGTGGAGTACGATCCTCTGTTATCAGGGCGAGCGGATGATGGCTGCGGAGAACCACATAAGGATAAGAAGGGGTATCTTCCAGGGCGATTGTCTGAGTCCAATCTGGTTCTGCCTCTCTCTGAACCCTCTCAGTACCTTACTGGAGGGCTCCGGGAGAGGATTTCAGCTACGGAAAGGAGGAACAAAAGTGATCCACCTTTTCTATATGGATGACCTCAAGTTATTCGCCTCCAGTCGCTCCCATCTTATGGAATTGCTAAACATCACTTGTGAATTTAGCAATTCCATTAGAATGGAGCTGGGGACGGATAAGTGTGCGGTCCTTCATGCTGAAAGGGGAAGGGTTGCTAACTCTGAGGGCATAGATTTATCTATGCCCGTCAACTTAAAGACCCTTTCCGAGACTGAAACATACCGATACCTGGGTATGTCACAGAACATCGGTATCGATGAGGCTGGTATGAAACAGTCAGTTTGCGACGTGTTTTATGCACGCTTGACCAAAGTGCTTAACAGCCTTTTGTCCGGTGTGAATAAGACACACGATATAACGGTTGGGTCATGCCTGTCCTCATATATACCTTTGGCATACTCAGGTGGACTCAGACCGAACTTAACGCCCTGGATAGAAAAGTCCGCACTACCATGACGTCCCATAGGATGCATCATCCGAGATCGTCGGTAATGAGGCTGTACTTGTCGCGAAAACATGGTGGGGGTGGTTTTCTGAGCGCGCTCACCATGCATAATCGCGAAGTGTGCAGCCTCCGTGATTACTTCCTGGCGAGATCGGATGATCCATTCTATAATGACGTCATTTCTAGTGATAAAGGGCTTACCCCTCTATCCTTAGCCCTCGAGCAATGGCAGGACCCAGCAGTGCTTAGCATTTCCGACCGGGAGACCGTATGGAAGTAGAAGGAGCTCCACGGGAGGTACTACAGGGCTCTTCATGAGCCCTTCGTAGATACAGTCGCCTCCCTCAACTGGCTACGTTTCGGTGACCTCTTCGGGGAAACCGAGGGTTTTGTCTGTGCAATACAGGATCAGGTTATTAAGACCAACAACTATCGGAGATACATCCTAAAGGATGGCACCGTCGACGTCTGTCGAGCTTGTCGCCATCCCGGTGAATCACTTAGGCATGTCATCTCCGGTTGTTCGGCGCTTTCTAACTCTGAGTACTTGCACAGGCACAACCTAGTAGCCAGAATTCTACACCAGGAGCTCGCTCTGAAATACGGTCTCGTGGACCGGAAATTGCCGTATTACAAGTACTTGCCGGAAGCCGTGCTCGAAAATGACCGCGCCAGGCTCTACTGGGACCGGGCCATCATCACAGACAGGACTATTCTTGCGAATAAGCCTGATATTGTGCTGATGGACCGGGCACAGTCAAGGATATTTTTGGTCGACATTACCATTCCGTATGACGAGAACCTCGTGAAAGCCGAAACAGACAAGCAAACAAAATATCTGGACCTGGCTCACGAGGTGACCGACATGTGGGGTGGTCTGCCAACCGAAATTATTCCTGTAGTCGTCTCTGCAAACGGGCTAATCCCAGTCAGCCTCTCGGGTCATCTGAGGCGGCTGTGACTACGTGGCGGACCGCTCCAGGCTCAAATGCAGAAGGCTGTGGTCCTCGATACCGCCCGCATCGTCCGTCGGTTTCTTTCCCTTTCCCCCTAACCCTCGGCCGTTTGGTCTCCCCTGCCGATGGCCTCCATCTGGCTGGGCTTTTATTTATTTATGTACTTTTATATTTATTTTATGTTATTGATATTTATGTATATTTATCTTTTCATTTTCATTTATAATTATATATTTATAGAACCCAACCAGATGAGAAAACTATATAGATACCCCACAATAATAATAATAAGCTTATTTGTCTCAGTTTACACATGTTATTAAAAAAAATACAAATAGAAATCATAACAAACTTAACTTAGAAACATACTTAGTAACATAACAGTAATGAGACAAACTGGCCTGTGACTCAGCTATGTGGTGATTTTAGGTCACCGCTGGTATTCTGCCACAGCCGACTATTTTAAAAAACACAGTATATTAACCTAATTTTGGCATTGACGTAATACAACTAAAGAATAGACTAAAATGTTTATTCATATGTGCTATGCAAATTTAGTAAGTAGTAGGTAAAGGAGACAATCGCCTCTGGGCCTACCAGATACTTCAACGACTCTCAATGCTATTAGTAAGAATTAAGTCTGTAGTTATATATAATACTTCATACCTACCTCCAACTTTTGTTCAAGTGACCATACTTTACATTTCTTTCTAAATAAATTTGTATTTACGATCTCCTGCAAAGGAGGAGGTATATTGTTCCAAATTTTGGAGGCAGCATATTTGAAACATCCTTTTGCTTTAACACGCTTATAAGTTGGAAGTATATATAATAGTTTACCCCTTCGTCTCATACATTTTAGTGGACATTTTGGAGATAATTTTTCATATAAATAATGAGGACATTGCGAATTATTTAATGAGTGTACAAAACAAGCATATTTTAATTTTCTAGTGTAACTCATACTTAAAATATTATTTTTGAGGGGATAAGGAGTTATGTGGTTTGTACTAGGTATGTCTAAACAATAGCGCATACACGTATTTTGAACTCTTTGTATCTCCCTATGGTTTTCTGTGAGAGGCAAGGACTATATACCAAGTCGCAAAAATGTAAATGTGACAACACAAGACTATTACAAAGACGGAGCCGGATGTTTGGTTTCAGAAAAGAACGAATTTTGTAGATTTTAAAGACACAAAACATTTTCCTATTTTTTGTTGTACGTGTTGTACAAAAGTTAAACCTTCATCCATATTAAGGCCCAAGTTACGAATGCAATTATTTCTAGGAATAGTTGCGTCATTGATCAACTGTCATAGTTGGGTCAATTTTTTTGATAGATGCAACCTGATGACGTGTACCCATAATTATACATGTACTTTTTTTGGGATTCAGAAGTAAGCAGACTTTGACCAATGCTCTATTAATTTTAGATCATTATTTAAGCTGGTAACCGCTTTACTGTCTTTTGTTGGTGACATATGGACGTACAATTGAGTGTCATCGGCATAAAGGTGATATTTGGAGTGCTGAACTACGTTTTTTATGTCTGTTGTGTATAAGGCGAAGAGTGTTGGGCCAAGAATCGAACCTTGAATAACGCCTTTAGAAATTGACAGGGGCTCCGAAATATCAATATTACCTTCCGTATTGGTGCATTTTACTTTTTGACTCCGCCCGTAGAAGTATGAGTGAAACCACGAACATGCCGTTTCGGAAAAACCAAAGATTTTTAATTTTGTCAGTAAAAGTGGTATATTAACGCAGTCGAAAGCTCGAGAAAAATCAAGTAGCACTAGAATGGTACCTTGTCCATTATCAGCGGCGGTAAGAATATCGTCCGTGATGTGTAATAATGCTGTAGTTGTGCTAAATTTTTGCCGGAAACCCGATTGGAAGACCGGAACAATGGTTTAATACTCAAAGCCTCACGATACTATTTCGCCCTATTGCATTTCTGAACTAAACACGTATTAGTAAAAATTACCACACATGGCAAACTTTTGCCGAACTTACTAATGAACGTAGTTATTGAACGTTGTATCACTATTTTACGGATCTTTATGAATATGATAAAAACCATAGGCAACTATAGCCTACCCTATATTACATACATGATATCGTTTTACTGTGATGAAAACAAAAATCGTCTTGTATTTTTATTAATTTATTTGTATTAAAATAATTTATTTCATTTTGTTTTCCTTTTGATATGTTATTGGTGAACAATAATGAATATATTGATTGATTGATAGTCAAATCAAGAATATTTTTACTCAAACTTGGCCTTTACAACGCACTTGATCACAGATTATATAATGTACTTGATGAACGTCAAGAAAGTTACGCCATAAAATGCTAATATTGCAATTCTCAAGCTAAATGTAAGTCAAGGTAATAAGTTAAGGCTTGTTCGCCAACACGCATTGCAACAGTTAAAGCAGCGATCAGCGTAGCAGACTAATTTGTTATATAAACTTTTGTAAGGTGTCGTTTTCGTATTTTTGCTTTATACATAAATAGTAGAACATAGACACCAATTTTAATTAATTTTGTCATTTAAACACCTAATTTTTATAGCCTTTATTAATTATTTTAAAAACTCTTATTAATAATTAA